GAAGCAGCAGCGTCAGCAGGTTGCGCGAGTCCCTCGCGGACTCGACCATCGGGATGCAGTCAAACGAGTACCTAAGAACAAACACGGCGCGCGCTGTGTTTTCTTTTTTCGGCGCGCCAGCGGACGAGCGAGAAGTACTCGATGCACAAGGAGGATGGCGCGAGGAGGAGCGCGGTGTAGACGGCCTGGATCCACCCGACGGAGAGCCACCACGCCAGGCGCGACTCGAGGAAGAGGAGCGGGTTCTCGGCCTTGCGGATGAGCAACGAGTCTGCGAGTGACGCGGCGCCCCACGAGAGCGGCTCGCCAGGAGGGGTCATCAGAAGGATGCGGCCGACGAGGTAGGCGGCCACGAAGAGCGCCAACGCGCAGATGCGGGCGGACGATCCGACCACGCCTGCGGCGCCACGGGCAGGAAGCAGCACGAGCACCTCCTGCGCTATCAGGATCGGGGCGATGACGATGCCAGTCTCCTTGCACAGCACGGCGCCCGCGATGCAGCCGAGGGTTGCGGCGGCACAGGCGAGTCGGCGCGCGCTGGCGCCGCGCCGCCACGCGCTGCACCCGCGTGGGGTCAGCCCGGCAGCCCAGGCGTGGCACGCGTTCGCGCCGAGGCAGCAGAGCGCGCAGAGCAGCTCAGCGCGCCCGACGACGCCGGTGACAGCCTCCACATGAAGAGGGTGCGCCGCAAACCATAGCGCGCCCAGCAATGCCCGCCGACGCCGCCGAGAGGCGTGTCCGCGCCAGGCGCGGACGATCAGCTGCGTAACTCCCGCGCACACTGCGGCGTGGATGATGGCGTTGGCGCCGTGGAGGGCGGAGGGTTCTGGCGCTTCGCCACTCCACCACGAGTGCGCACGGAAGGACAGGACGGTCAGCGGGCGGTACGACTTGTGCGAGTCGTCGAGGTGTAGCCTGTCCGGAGGCGCCCCGCGGTGAACGGGCGGAGGCTGAGCGACAGGGCAAGGTGGTGAAAGAGCACGCACGCTTTGCCCCAAAAGTCGTGCGACCACAGCGGGAGGAGTGGCGCGCCCGGCTGCACGTCGGCGTTGGAAACGACCGCAAAGGCGTCGTCAAAGACAAAGTCGCACGCGGGCGCGTTGAGGTAGCAGGCGAGGCCCACGAGGGAGGCGTAGAGGTGGAGACGAGCGCCGTCAAGCAGTGTCATATCTGACACACACACCCCGGCTCACACCACAGCCGCCTAGCCTAGCGACTCCGTTAAAGAATTCGTGCGCGGCGTGCACAATGCCGCTCTCCCCGCATGCTAGCTCGTTCACCGTCTGCCACGCCACACACATCGATGTGGAGGACGACGGAGAAACGCTGGATTTGCAGGCAGCGTGCCAATTCTTGGCATTAAAAAATCAAAGGATTCACCCGCATGTTCAACAAGCTGGTGTCCCCTGTCGATCATCGCTACGCGGTTGTCCATGTGACCTCGTCCAGATGCTGAGTGAGCATGCGAAAGTTTGAAGGCCCCCGCACGGGGGGTCCCGGCCGACGTCATGCGCGTCCGCCAAGGGTCCGGGGTCGCCCTCCGTCTGACTATATGCTGCGAATTGCGTCTCGGCCGCCTCGCGGCGCCCCCTGAGCCTAGCGAGGGGCTGTGAGGGTACCTAGCACCTACTAGTGGTGTATTCTGACCGGCCTGAGCCCAAAAAGCCGCGCCGAAGTCGCCACGGTCCGACAGTGGCGTGGCACGGTCGAACTGGCGCCGCTGCTGAAACGCGCGGTTCGCCGTTCGGGGGTCGGCGGGACGGAACGGCCGTTCGGGGAGCCGCGTGAGCAACAATCGACCCCGTGCGACCCCAGATGTCATAAAAACATGTTAGACATCTCTCACACACGCATACCAAGGTCACGGCGCCGGACAAGCGCCGAGTCGTCGCCGCGAATAGCGCTGCTGCGCCATTCGCGGCGCGCGGAGAGCGGTGGGGCGAGCGAGGGAGGGGCGCGGTGTTGTTCTGCTCGGCGGGCAAGTCCTCGCCGCTTCTCTTTCTGTCCAGTTCCTGTCCTCACCGCCCATCGCCATCTAGTGCCGCCTCGCCTCCTTCACCTAGTGTGGGGCGGGGAAGGCAGCAGTCACCCCGCCCGAAACGAGCCTTGCGCCCATCTCGAGTCCGCGCTGGAACTCGGCCCGGAGCTGCTCGGCGGTCTCCTTCGCGGCCTGCAACATCCTGGACTGGTACTCCCTCTCGGCCTCCTCCTGTTCGCTCTTGAGCTTTGTGAGCGCCGCCTTGGCGTCCGCCAGCTGCTTCTGGAGTTTTTCCTTTTGCATTTCGACCAGCATTGCATCGGCCCTCTCCGTAGCAAGCTCCTCCACTGTCACGTTGGCGGCCTGCGCCGTCGTCTTCTCCTTCGGGTTCGATTTCCTGGCCCCAGCCTTGAGCCCGTGGATCGTGTCCGACTTCTTGGTGTAGGGGCCCCCCCGCACGTATGGCTTGCCGGTCCGCAGGTTGATCTGAGGCTGCACCGCCTCGTCCGCCTTGCCCTTGCTCTTCTTGCCCTTAGGCTTTGACGCGGCTGCTGGCTTCTTGCTGTCCCGTCCGGCCGGCTTCTTTCCCGCAGCAGGCCCCGCGGGGAAGCGCTCCACTTGCTTCCGTTGCCGCTTGCTCAGGGGCTGCTCCTCCTCGCTTGAACCGTCTTCGAGACCCGAATCGTGGCCGTCCGAGTCGCCAGCGCCGGAGCCTGCGGCAGCGGAGGAGCTGGCGCCGGTGGCTGCTGCAGCCGGGCTAGCGGCTGGCGTCGTCCCATCTAGGATAATCGAGTCAAAGCGCAAAGTGGCTTGCACCCCCTCGCCCCGTCCTCGACCCACCAACGACGTCTGTGTAAGACCCACGAGTTTGCCCGTGCTCGAAAGCGAGCTCTCGTGAGCTTCAGATCGGCAACAAGGCGCCTGTGCCCCTTGCCGATGTTTGCCGCCGCCACGCGTCAGGTTGTTTTGGGTTGCTGTAACCGAGGTGTGCAGTCGGCTCCATCTCGATGATCATGCCCCACGCCGAGCGGAGGGTCTTGACCAGTCGTTTGAGTAGGAATTTGTGTCTTGTAGCATGCTTCGACCGAGGGTTAACCATCGCGGCGTCGCCGAGGACGTAGGGAGGGGGCGGCGAGGGAGGGGGCGGCGAGGGAGGAGGTGGCAAGGGAGGAGGCGGCAAGGGGGAAGGCGGCGAGGGAGGCGGCGGTGAGGGAGGAGGTGGCGAGGGAGGAGGAGGTAGAGGAGGCGGCGAGGGGGGAGGAGACGAGAGAGGAGGAAGCGAAGGGAGGAGGCGGCGGGGAAGGAGGCGAGAGGGGAGGCGGTGAGGGAGGAGGCGGCAAGGGATGAGGCGGCAAGGGAGGAAGCGGCGAGGGAGGAGATGGCGAGGGAGGGGG